ATCAGCAAAGCTCCTTACCTCAGAGTATTATCCCCTATTCACAATCAGCAATGCTCCCTTACCTCAGAGTATTATCCCCTATTCACAATCAGCAATGCTGCTTACCTCAAAGTATTATCCCCTATTTACCGCCATCAATGCTGCTTACCTCAAAGTATTGCCCCCTATTCATAACAAGCAATTCACCTTACCTCAGAGTATTATCCCTAGTCACCACCAGCTATTCATCTTACCTATAAGTATTACCCCTATTCACAACTAGCAATGCTCCTTACCTCGGGCAGTACCCCCTATTCACAACCAGCAATGCTCCTTACCTCGAGCATTACCCCCTATTCACAACCAGCAATGCTTCTTACCACAGATTATTACCCTCTATTCACCACCAATATTACACCTTATCTCATAATATTACCACTCCATGTTCTTGCTCCCATCCTAGCACCAATTGCAGTGTGTTCACTACCATTCACCAGCAGCTTTCCTTCCCTCTGTGTGTCATATGTCCCAACTTTCTGGGACACCTGGCAGCAAAAGATATGTAGGCAAAGGACACACCCCTGTTACATGGAGATTTAACACACAAAAATGATTTATATAGGCTTTTTAAATTTACAAATGAGGAGGAAAGAGGGACAGAGGGACTGTGTTCCAAATCCGGGAACACTGGGAACTATCGTTGGGAGTATAAAGTATATTACCCCCTCCTTTACCATGAGCAAGTCACCTTACCTCAGAGTATTACTCCTCCTTCACTTCAAGCCGCTATACTTACCTCAGAGTATTACTCCTCCTTCACTGCAAGCAGCTATTCTTACCTTAGAGTATTATCTCTCCTACACTGCCAGCTGCTGTACTTACCTCAGAGTATTACCCCTCTTACACTGCAAGCCACCATACTTACCTCAGAGTATTACCCCTCGTACAGAGCAAGCCAACATACATACCTCAGAGTATTACCCCTCGTACAGAGCAAGCCACCATACATACCTCAGTGTATTACCCCACCTACACTTCTAGCAGCTATTCTTACCTCAGAGTATTATCTCTCCTACACTGCCAGCTGCTATAATTACCTCAGAGTATTACCCCTCTTACACTGCAAGCCACCATACATACCTCAGAGTATTACCCCACCTACACTTCTAGCAGCTATTCTTACCTCAGAGTATTATCCCTCCTACACTGCAAGCCACTATACTTACCTCAGAGTATTACCCCCTCCTACACTGCTAGCCACCATACTTACCTCAGAGTATTACCCCCACCTACACTGCTAGCCACCATACTTACCTCAGAGTATTACCCCCTCCTACACTGCTAGCCACCATACTTACCTCAGAGTATTGCCCCCTCCTACACTACCAGCAGCTATTCTTACCTCAGAGTATTATCCCTTCTATATTGCAAGCTGGTATACTGTACTTACCTCAGAGTATTACCCCTCCTACATTGCCAGCAGCTATTGTTACCTCAGAGTATTACTTCTACACTGCAAGCCATTGTACCTACCTCAGAGTATTACCCCCCCCCCCATACACACACAAACTGCAAGCTGCTATACTTACCTCGGAGTATTACCCCTTTTACACTTCAAGCCACCATACTTACCTCAGAGTATTACCCCTCATACACAGCAAGCCACCATACATACCTCAGAGTATTACCCCACCTACACTTCTAGCAGCTATTCTTACCTCAGAGTATTATCCCTCCTACACTGCAAGCCACTATACTTACCTCAGAGTATTACCCCCTCCTACACTGCTAGCCACCATACTTACCTCAGAGTATTGCCCCCTCCTACACTACCAGCAGCTATTCTTACCTACCAGAGTATTATCCCTTCTATATTGCAAGCTGGTATACTGTACTTACCTCAGAGTATTACCCCTCCTACATTGCCAGCAGCTATTTGTTACCTCAGAGTATTACTTCTACACTGCAAGCCATTGTACCTACCTCAGAGTATTACCCCCCCTCCTCTCCCCCACACACAGACACACTGCAAGCTGCTATACTTACCTCAGAGTATTACCCCTTTTACACTACAAGCTGCTATACTCACCTCAAAGTATTACCTCCTCCTGCACTTCCAGCAGCTTCCCTTACCTCGGTGCATGACCATTCCACTACCAGAATGTCCTCTTAGTTTAGAGAACAACCCCCCCCTCCCCCCTTACTACCAGCAGTTCCTTATTACACCACTTTCACTTCCAGCACCTTCCCTTACTTCAGTGTATTACCCCACCTACACCACCAGCAGCTTTTCTTACCTCAGTGCATTACCCCGCCCTTACCACCTGCAATTCACCTTACTTCAGAGTATCAGCCATCCTTCACCACCAGCAGATATCTTTAGAGTATTACCTCTCCTCGAGTACCATCAAGAAGCTTCCCTTACTTCATTGCATTACCCCTCCTACAGTGCCAGCAGCTCTTTATTTCCTCAGAGTATTGCCCCTCGCCTCCAGTACCAGCAATTCCCCTTACCTCAGTTTATTTATTCTTCTTCACTACTAACAGCTTCCCTTACCTCACGGTGTCACTCCATGGCTACCATTAGTTCTTCTCAGTAATTATCACCTCCATAACTACTCCAGCTCCCCTTATAGGATTGCCACCCATCTGCTTACAGAGAGGCCATGCGTACCATTTCATGTAAAGCCTGATACTCTTTAGCTCTGTGCCCGTGGTACATCCCCTTTGGCTGTAGCTGGACAGCTGCAGCAGTTTGTTTGATCAGAGTGAGTCCTCATAGGCCCACTCAGTCAGTAAAGTGTCATCTCTACAAATGGAAGGTTGTTCGTTTGAAGTGTTTGATTTGAAGTTATGGGTCAGGGATGGTGCCATTGGGTGAACTATGACTGGATGATAATCACCTCAGGAGTGGTACCGGCCACCTGTGTGTCCCTGCACAGTATTCTTTTAAACCTTTATTCTGTTATGGCTTTACACTTCAATTTACAAACATACATAATAACAGAATAAAGGTTTAGAAGAATACTGTGCAGGGACACACAGGTGGCCAGTACCACTCCTGAGGTGATTATCATCCAGTCATAGTTCACCCAATGGCACCATCCCTGACCCATAACTTCAAATCAAAACATTTCAAACGAACAACCTTCCATTTGTGTCCATATGTGTCATCTAGTGTGTGCGGATGAGGGAACTGGCCAGGTCAGTTTTATGTTCGATACATGGCTCTGGGTTTTTCATTCACCCAGCGGGTCGAACATAAAACTGACCTGGCCAGTTCCCTCATCCGCACACACTAGATGACACATATTCTTCACATATTGCTATAGGAGCTAATGCTAACCCATGACATCCCCTTTCCTCTTTCTTTATCATCTTTGTTCAGCGTGATGTTTCAAGAAATTGTTTGACACTATTGAACTTTATTTCACGTGTAAATGGATTCAAATACTGTACACTTTTGCAGGGGTGAATGGAAGAAGACTCCAGAAATAAATCTATGGGCAAGCAACAGTGAGTCTAACATTGGATGTCCCTGGCCTAGGATGGGGTTTCTGTGAAGAGCAACAGTGAGAAGCAGGTAAAAATACAGCTGTACCTTTCCTACAAGTTGTCCATCATGGCATACCTACCCACATGGAAGAAAAATATATTTGAAATATATTTTAAAAATATTCTTCCCAAATATATTGACATATATTTGAAATACTACAATTTTGGCCATATTCATATTCAATATATTTATATATATATATATATATATATATATATATATATATATATACATATATACATACACTGTATGTTGAAATGCGTTTTTATTACTAAATATATGAAAAATATTTTTAAAAATATGTATTTTTTTAAATATATTCTTCAGATTTTTTTTTTACATATAAAAAAGTCATTTTTAACATATATTTTTACATATAGTTGTAAATGCATTCCAAAAATGTAGGTTTGTATTTTTAAAGACATACAGTATAATTGAAATGTATTTTTAAAAATATTTTTCATATATTTTGTAATAAAAACACATTTCAACATATATATATATTTTTAAAATATATTTCAAATATATTTTTCTTCCATATGAGTATACTCCTCAGAGTGCATCCAAACCAGGTCAAATATTTACCTCTGCCCCCATTCCAGTGATATTTACTGTATGGCCCTGCCTGAAGCTGCACAGCCTTTCTTCAGATAGCGCCCCTGTCAGGTCCTCTTCACCCTGCTCATGCAAATTGCAGAGGGGAGAAGCTGCAGTCCTCAGGACCATTTGAAGCTGCTAGAATTTCAGCCTCAACTTAACTTGTCTTAACCTCCCTGGCAGTATGATTATTTCAGATTTTTGGTGCTGAAAGCGGTACCATTATTTTGCATGGAAATTTGGCGTTTTATATTGTAGGCCTGTAATTTTTAGGAATAACTCACTGAAATCTGTCCGAACAAGAGTCTAGTAAACATCCCGGGTTTGTTAAAATTTGAAACGCGAAATCATAAATTATAATTAAATAAATAATCATAAAAAATAATAATATTATTATTATTATTATTATTATTATTACATCAAGTTTATATAGTGCCAAAGGGTTTACTCAGCACTGTACAATAGAGGGGGGGGCCAATACAAGAAACAGAACAGCAACAACAACAGTACACGAGGGGTTAGAGGGCCCTACTCTTTCGAGCTTACAATCTAGGAATATATTAACAATAAATGAATTCAATAATATAGTCAAACCAAAAACACTGAAATGTGAAATAGAGCGCCAAATTTGCACATCACTGAGCAAAGTTGCAAAATCGTTTTCAGTGTCTGATGACGAATTTCCCCACGAATCATTATCACTCAATTCTGCAAGTGGTTCTGATTTACTATCGCTGTTCTCTAGCTGGTCTAAAACCGCTTTTGACCTAAAGGGGCGCTTTTTGGACGCCATGGACGTTTCTCAGTTTCCATGCAGAAAGAACAGTAAAAATGCAGGCAGGGCACAGGACAAAGCACTCGGGACAAAATGTATGTGAAATGCTTTGATACAGTAATGTTTTACTATGTGATTTTAGTGATTTTAGTGAATGTTACTTTTTGTCATTTTCAAATTTCCCGCCGTTTCGTCCCGACACTCGCAGGGGACGAAACCCAGATGACAGATGCCGGCATCCGCCCGATTACATTGCTGGGGATACTGCAGGAGGGACATCGTGGGAGCGCAGGACAAGGTAAGTGATCGAGGGATCACGGAGCAGCGCCGCATGGTAAATCCGAGTGTAGCTCGGGAGTTACCGCTTGTGGTACTGAAACTTTACCCCGAGCTACACTCGGGAATACCGCCAGGGTGGCTACAAATGCTCCTACCCCTTCTTAACACCTCTGCCGACTAACCTGTGTAAAAATGTTCCAGCCAGATCCCCTGTGTCAGCCTACAGCAGATGCAGGGGAGAGGAGAGAGAACTGGACTGGGAATGCCTGGGAGTGGAGACATCACCAATAGGCTCCCATGACCCAGCCATTGTTGGCGCTCCCTCCTTATCCCTGCAGCCGCCTATGGCTGACACAGCGGATCGCGTGACCGGGCAGGAACAGGATGAGAATAGATAAGTATATACATCTTTTTTCACAGGATAGCCAGCATACTGTAGGTGTTAAGAGTGGGGGTTAGGACTAGTCAGGTTTAAGCTGGAATTCCACTTAAAAAAAAAAACAAACAAAAAAATCACATAATGTATATTATTATTATTATAATAATACATTAATTAATTGCATTAAAATATCAGAGTACAAAATTTTTCCCTATAATGAAGTTGTGCAGCAGTGCTAATTAAAGCGCTGAGAAAACTGTTGGTGCTATATAAATCCTGTATAATAATAATAATAATAAGAATAAATAGAATTCACTATGCTCTCTTAGAGGAGTGCAAGGGTAATTCTGATTGGTTGCCATGAGTATATTATGACAAATCTTTTGTTTTGTAAACGTACCGCAGATGGGTAGTGTTTCTTGCACCTACAGTCATATTTATGTTGAGTTTTACAAATCCTATCACAGCTGATGGATTCAAAAGGACATGTTGATTATATTACTTCTGCTCTTGAGAACTTTGATCAGGAAATGTAAATTAAAATTTGGATGCTTGATTCTACCATATGTCAAGATAAATTGAGTTGATGAAAAGGAGCAATAATGTTTTCAAGCAGCAGATGTTTGGAGACTGATATAACTTACTTCAGTGGTGTTCTCCATATTTCTCTCCCTTTTTGGTTTAGGTTCTAGTGTGAATTGCCCATCCCATAACAACTACTGTTAGTAGATAGATAGATAGATAGATAGATAGATAATCATTTTACTAAGACTAGCACACATGTGACTGCTGTTTGAAGGATACAAAATGAACTCTGTGCAGAATGAGGATCGCTGACAGTTGTAAATGTATTGTAAAATGTTCAGTAACTGGTATGATGAAAAATAATGATTATAATGAAAAGTTAAAATTAAACTGAGCAGTAGAATTGACTAAACTTATAAATAAAAGCTAGCTTTAGATTGTTTTTTGCTACATGTTACAGCTCAACTACATGTTACATGCAACTAAACAAGCACCTATAAAATCACATGCCCTTTGCTCCTCAATAAAACAACCCTGTTTAACTGAGTCTATTCCAAATACCCTTTCTTGATTACTTCTCCTCCTTTTGTTACTGTGTTGGATTTTGTTGACATTTTCAGAAGTTGAGATAAACTCAAAACAAACAGGTTCTATATAATATGAACTTACAGTAGCTCACTGCTGCCATCTGTGTGGCTCAATGAGGCTGATTTACTAAATGAATTGAGACTGTTCACACAAAGAAAAGAGGGAATATTCACTTCAATTATCCATTTACGTGAACAGAAAATTCTGGTTTATTTAATTCATGTGCACATAATTGGATAAATAGATGGCCATAGAGGGATTACTTTGACGCAGTTGGCCAGCTTAAACATGTATTGCAATATGTGTGAACCAAATATCCCTATTTGTTGCATAGTTTGCTTGAAAGGGTATATACCAGTGTGCAGAGGGTCCTTCAGAATTTCTAGAGTTAATGTGGTTACACCCCTTTAGCACCTGATGGATAAATGCATGCACTAGCTGTATGGATTTGAGCACAGGGATCTCTTGTTTGTTGTATTGTTGGGTCAGTAGCCAGACCTGAACCTTGTAGCTCTCCCCATTGTGTCTTTTCCCCTATGCTAGCATTGTGTCCACAGTAGCACTTGCGTAGGCAGGGCAGAGTAGGACTGGCCATAGAGGGATTACTTTGACGCAGTTGGCCAGCTTAAACATGTATTGCAATATGTGTGAACCAAATATCCCTATTTGTTGCATAGTTTGCTTGAAAGGGTATATACCAGTGTGCAGAGGGTCCTTCAGAATTTCAGGAGAGAGAACTGGACTGGGAATGCCTGGGAGTGGAGACATCACCATGTTACATGCATGTTTCTTGATTACTTCTCCTCCTTTTGTTACTGTGTTGGATTTTGTTGACATTTTCAGAAGTTGAGATAAACTCAAAACAAACAGGTTCTATATAATATGAACTTACAGTAGCTCACTGCTGCCATCTGTGTGGCTCAATGAGGCTGATTTACTAAATGAATTGAGACTGTTCACACAAAGAAAAGAGGGAATATTCACTTCAATTATCCATTTACGTGAACAGAAAATTCTGGTTTATTTAATTCATGTGCACATAATTGGATAAATGAGGTAAATCTTCACTCTTTTTTTATGAGAACATTTTCAGCTCTTTTTGTAAATCAGCCTCATCTCTATTTATTTTAGCCTTGTGCAACATTCCTCTCCACTCCCGACTATGATGTATTATTTCCAACAACAAAGGATAACAAGCAGAGTGACTGATATGTTTTACCAGTTGAAAAACAAACTTACTGTGAGAATCGCATCTTAAAGTAAATCTAATCCCTTACCAGACAACATTTAGTTTGCCTTGTGCACTGTTTCATATACAAGTGCTCTTTTTTAAATCCCTTTTTTTTTTCCTTTTTTTTCATCCTTTGGCCATCACCATATTGCTTGTGAGCAGGTTGAAATGCTTGTTAGTGAGACATAGAAACATAGAAAAGTGACAGCAGAAAAGACCAAGTGGTCCATCAAGTCTGGCCGTTTTTTTGTTTTTTTTTCTTTTTGTGTGTGTATTTTGTTTTTGTTTTTTTTTTGTTATTTTCTTCGGGGGGGGGGGGGGGGGGGGTAACTTTTGTGTCTGAATATAGATCTTTACTTGTCCCAAGCATATTTGAACCTATTTACTGTTGACTGGCTCACTACCTCTGCTAGGAGTTTATTCCAAGCCCCAACTACTCTTTCAGTAAAATAGTACTTTCTGAGATTAGTTTTGAACTATCCTCCAGTTAGTTTACGGTCATTTCCTTGTGTTCTTGACTTTTATTTCATGTTGAAAATACTGCCCTCCTGTACCTTATTCACCCCCTTGATGTGTTTAAAGGTTTCAATCATGTCTCCCTTTTCTCTTCAGAGGGTACATATTAAGTTCCTGAAGTCGCTCTTAATATGTTTTATCCCCCAGACCTTTTACCATTTTTTGTTACCTGTCTTTGGAGAGTCGTTGCCCCAGCTTGTTAGCTGTTTGTTAACCTGTTTTTCCCACACTTTCTACTGAGCTCTGCCTCTCTCCCTGTGCTGATAATAAAAGGGGAGAGGGCTCTGCCCAGTCAGACAGTCTGCAGAGGAAGGAAAGACACAGACAAGCCAAAGCATGTAATCTTCAACTGCTTATAGAGAGGAGAGAAGGGGGAGTATTTACACCTCAGAGAGCAAGGCATCCTGCTGTTGCTTCTACCATGTAGGGGGATTGCTGGGACCTGCAATCATCCCTGAAGAACACCAGTTCTCGAGATCTGCTATTGTGAACTCTGCGTTGTATGGACTCTTCCCTGTGTAGGTATGCTGGGGCAGCCTCAGACCGCTTTTGAAACTTTGTCCTTGCCTGGTCTGAAGTTGCTCAGGAGGTGTAATGCAAGTAACTGCTACACATACAGTAGTTTACAGAGTCGGTCAGCTAAGCACATTGGGGTATGAAGGAAACAGTGTAAGAGTTAATATGGTGTGAAATCACAAGTGGTTACCAAGGGTAGCTAAGGTTTCTGTAGCAGTCTGTTGCAAGTATGTACACTATGTGCACAATTATTAGGCAAGTGAGTATTTTAACCAAATCATCATTTTTATGCATACTGTCCAACTCCAAGCTGTCTAAACGTGAATGTTTATTGGATTTAAGCATATCAGATGATGTGTATTTGTGTAATGATGGATGGTGTGGCCTAAAGAGATTAACACCCTATATCAAGGTGTGCATGATTATCAGGCTGCTTCTTTTCCTCAGGTACAATGGGCCAAAAAAGAGATTTAACTGACTCTGAAAAGTAAAAAATTGTAAAAAGTCTTTCAGACGGATTCAGCACTCTTGAAATTGCTAAGACATTGGGACATGATCACACAATCATCAAATGTTTTGTTGCAAATAGTCACCAGGGTCACAAGAAACATGTTGAGAAAAAAAGATGCAAATTAACTGCCAAAGATTTGAGAAGAATCAAACATGAAGCTACCAGGAACACATTATACTCCAGTGCTGTCATATTCAAGAACTGAAACCTACCTGGAGGGCCCAGAAGTACAGTACAAGGTGTTCAGTGCTCAGAGGCATGACCAAGGTAAGGGAGGCTGAAACCACCTCTGAACAAGACAAATAAGTTGAAACGTCAAGACTGAGCCAAGAAATATGTGAAGACAGATTTTTCTAAGGTTTTATGGACTGATGAGGTGAGAGTGACTTTTGGATGGATGGTCCCGTGGCTGGATCAGTAACGGGCACAGAGCTCCACTTTGACTTGCACACCAGCAAGGTGGAGGTGGGGTACTGGTAAGGAATGGTATTATTAAAAATTAGCTAGTTGGGCCTTTTTGGGTTGGAGATGGACTCAAAATCAACTCCCAAACCTACTGCCAGTTTTTAAAAGACACTTTCTGCAAGCAGTGGTACAGGAATGCATCTTTCAAGAAGACAATGATATTTATTCAGGACAATGCTCCAGTGAATGCATCAAAGTACTCCACTGCGTGGCTAGCCAGTAAAGGCCTTTAAGATGAAAGAATATTTACATGGCCCCCTTCCTCACCTGACCTAAACCCTATTGAGAACTTGTGGGCCCTTCTTAAATGGGAGATTTACAGCGAAGAAAAACAGTACACCTCTATGACAGTGTCTGTGAGGCTTTGGTTGCTGCTGCACAGAACAATGATCGTCAACAGATCAAGAAACTG